AGCTCCAGAACAATAATGCTCCCAGTAATGTGTCTGAGTGTATAACAGAGCTCCACAGCAATAATGCTCCCAGTAATGTGTCTGAGTGTATAACAGAGCTCCACAGCAATAATACTCCCGGTAATGTGTCTGAGTGTATAAAAGAGCTCCACAGCAATAATACTCCCAGTAATGTGTCTGAGCGTATAACAGAGCTCCACAGCAATAATACTCCCAGTAATGTGTCTGAGTGTATAACAGAGCTCCACAGCAATAATACTCCCAGTAATGTGTCTGAGTGTATAACAGAGCTCCACAGCAATAATACTCCCAATAATGTGTCTGAGTGTATAACAGAGCTCCACAGCAATAATACTCCCAGTAATGTGTCTGAGTGTATAACAGAGCCCCACAACAATAATACTCCCAGTAATGTGTCTGAGTGTATAACAGAGCTCCACAACAATAATACTCCCAGTAATGTGTCTGAGTGTATAACAGAGCTCCACAACAATAATACTCCCAGTAATGTGTCTGCGTGTATAACAGAGCTCCACAGCAATAATACTCCCACCCAGTAATGTGTCTGAGTGTATAACAGAGCTCCACAGCAATGATACTCCCAGTAATGTGTCTGAGTGTATAACAGAGCTCCACAGCAATAATACTCCCAGTAATGTGTCTGAGTGTATAACAGAGCTCCACAGCAATAATACTCCCAGTAATGTGTCTGAGTGTATAACAGAGCTCCACAGCGATAATACTCCGAGTAATGTGTCTTTAAACTACAATAAAGATGTTTAAAAATCAATGTGTGGAAATAAGATACATTGTTCTTGATATAAATTACATTTTAGTTGTATAAATTATTAGTATGTCATGGCCCCGCCCCTGGCCACACCCCCACTCAAACCCCTTTAAACTGTTTCTCTATGTCCATTTGACATTTTGATATCTATGAACTTTTACAGTGCATTTTTTACTTGAAGTTCACAATTCCTTTGTCACTTCTCAGTGTATAATATCACTTAAAGGACCACTCTAGGCACCCAGACCACTTCAGCTTAATGAAGTGGTCTGGGTGCCAGGTCCAGCTAGGGTTAACCCATTTTTTCATAAACATAGCAGTTTCAGAGAAACTGCTATGTTTGTGAATGGGTTAAGCCTTCCCCCTAATCCTCTAGTGGCTGTCTCATTGACAGCCACTAGAGGCGCTTGCGTGCTTCTCACTGTGATTTTCACAGTGAGAGCACGCCAGCGTCCATAGGAAAGCATTATGAATGCCGCATGGGAGGAGGATAGGAGGAGGAGAGCTCTCCGCCCAGCGCTGGAAAAAGGTAAGATTTAACCCCTTTCCCCTCAGGGCACTATAGTGACAGGAAAACGAGTATGTTTTCCTGGCACTATAGTGGTCCTTTAACATTACATTCACTGAATGAGAAAATGTGCTGAGTTCATATCCAAATTTTTAGGTCAAATAAACTAAGCAGGAAAACGAGCAAAGTTTTTTTTTAACCATTTCTGCTATTTTTTGCCTAAAATTTGCAGTCTGACAAATTTTCAACAATTCCTGTGTTTAGTGGAGATCTATAAAACGCGATAACGGCAGCAGTTGGAGTTGGGACGAGAATAATGGCGTACATTGTTCTTTTTATTTACAGAATGTTACTGGTTGTCATTTGCAAAAATGTTCTTAAAAATAAAAATCTAGACTTCCTGAAAAATAATATTATACAGTAAAAACAAATGCCCAGGATGAAGCTCATAGCATTCCTGAATGCACACAATTTGTCAAACCGAAACAATCATTGATCTTAACTGACAATCATATTGATTCTTTTCACACTCAAACCATTTCTCATATCTGTCTCTCAGCATTTTAAATGCAGTAAACAGATCACTTCAGCAGTCACTAATTAAAAATCAGCAAGTATTTCATTTACGTAAACGCAAATAAACTCATTCAGGCAGTGAATAAAAGCATTTTTAAAAAAAATGAAATTCAGATTCATTTTTAATCACTTAGCAGTGAATTAAAAACTAAATTGAACTTAAAGGGACAGCATAAGCAACCAGACAACTTGCAGTGCAGTGTCCCTGTCCACTTTAGTGCTGCATGTCTACATTGCAGCGCTAAGACTGCCTCTAGTGGTTATCTACTAGACAGCCACTAGAGGCGATTCCGGGAGTTTACCGGACTCTAGACTTCTAGCGGCAGTGAAATTCCCATAGGGGAGCACTGATTATTGCGAATTAGGTCCCAGATGTCGGAGGAGGCTGGAGTACTGACCAGCTCCTAGGGAAATCGGCGCTGGAATCGGGTGAGCAAATAAAGGATTTTTTAATCCTGTATGTCCCGCAGGTGGGCCAAAATACAGATGTGTGCTTCTCCCCCTTCAAAAAACTAAAATTGCCAACTTTGTGTGTCTTTTTCTTCCCCCGGCCTCTTTGTGTGTCTCTTTCTCCCCTAGCTCTTCTGTGTGTCTCTTCCCCCCCCAGCACCTTAGTGGGTCTCTTTCTTCCCCCACACACCAGTCCCTCTGTGTGTCTCTTTATCCTCCCCAGCCCCACTGTTTCTCTCTTTGTCCCCCCAGTCCTGTGTTTGTCTCTCTCCCCCAGCCCTCTGTGTGTCTCTTTGTCCCCTCACAGCCCTCTGTGTGCCCCTCCATGTCTCTCATTAATACCCCCCACACTCCCCCTGCGGCTCCATGTATCTCATTAACCCCCCAGCCCAGGAAGACAGGACAGGAAGCAGTTAGGCTCTCTCTGTGCTCACTTCTTTTCAGACCTGGTAGAGGGAAACAAGCTCCTCTCCCGCGGTCCCCGCTCGGCCACGCTACATACAGAGACCAGCAGGAGGGGAGTGCTTTGCAGTGCGGCCGCCTAATCCGCCTAGTGGTCATGCTATGGAATCCCTTTAAAGCTATAATGTCCATGCTATGACTACACTGAGTAGTTGTTGTTTTTTTCTCAAATCCCATATTGTTGTCTACATTTTGCAATTCAGTTTCAATTCTCTACAATCCATTGTTAAGGATACAACATTGTCACTTTGCTAAAGATGACAGTTCCATGTTACCCAAAAACAGTAGTCACTATTGTGAATTTAGAAACAGAGGTAAGTAAAAAATGTATTTATCTATGCTGCCGCCCATGAATTCCGAGTATTGCTCATGTGCGCGCACGTATCCACTCAGAAATACTTTACGAATGCACGTGTTCCTGTATACCGCAAGCTCTCTCTGACATTCCCTCAGTAGTGAGGTACAGGCGCTGACAGAGTGTGCCCTGGCTTAGAATGTAAGGGTTTAAAATAGGAAAAGGATTCATAAATGATGGTCACAACCAATAGCTAACTTTTTGTCATCTCTTCCGTTGTGCAAAAACTTCACGTGATAATTCCACTTTAACGTTAAAGAAAAAATATTCTCACAGATTTGGGGCTGTCTGTTTTGATTTGCATAAAATGTAACTAGCTTCACCCTTATGGTGGGAGGTTATCTGCCCCAGCAGGTGCCAGAACTGAAGAGGGGACACAGTTGATCCCAGTTCTTGAAGTTCAAAAAGATTATAACCTAAAATTCTTATAAACTACAGGCCTGATGGGTGCCATCACACCCCAAAGGCAACAACAAGAGTTGGTATAAAAACCGTGAAGTAGAATGTCTTAGTATGGCCCAGTCAAAGCCTTGAACCTCAATCCAATGGATAATTTGTATAACGCTGTTTGTCAAAGGTCCCTGACTCCCTGTCCAACCTTACAGAGACTGACCTTAAAAAAAGACTCTCTGAATTACAGTAAAATGTGTGGTGCTAGACAGGCCCATCAAGAACTGTGAAATATCCCAGTGGATCACTGCATCCTAGGGATCATTTCAACGTGAATTTGAAAATTAAAGGGACACTATAATCACCCAGACCACTTCAGCTCAATGAAGAGGTCTGGGTGCAATGTCCCTCAGGTTTTAACCCTCCAGATGCAAACATAGCAGTTTCAGAGAAACTGCTATGTTTACATTTGGGTTTAAGCCAGCCTCTAGTGGCTGTCTTCCGGACAGCCACTAGAGGCGCATCTGCGACGCTGGAGGCATATTATGCCTCCATCACGCAGAGCGTCCATAGGAAAGCATTGAGAAATGCGCATTCGGATCCTGTGACAACGGATGGCTCCGCTGACGTCGGCAGGGGAGGAGAGGTCACCAGCGCCGAGGGAGCCCAGTGCTGGAATAAGGTAGGCTGCTGAAGGGGTTTTAACTCCTTCAGCGCCACGGGAGGGGCACCCTGAGGGTGGGGGCACCCTGAGGGTACTATAGTGTCAGGAAAACCGCTTTGTTTTCCTGACACTATAGACATCCTTTAAGGCCGGCACAGCTGATCTGAAGGCATTGATGTTAGAGGATGTTGCCAGTTCGGCTACTTTGACCTTAAATTTGAAGTTCACTTTGAACTCTCACTTTAGGTTGTGTTGGTGTTTTAGTAATAAAAAAATAATAATTTAAAAAACAATAATTGGAAACGGCCAATAAGCCTTGAAGTATCATACTTAGATCTATTGTAAAATCAAGTTAAACTGTAATACGTTGCTGTACTCAACTACACAGGCCAGAAACAGCATATCATAGCAAACTGTTTATTGCACATCCATAACATGCTGTAATGCATACCGCAACATTCTTAAATTCCTTTTTTCTGTAACAAATTGTTCTACCGGTGTGTTCCCACAGACTACATGACTACGACTTTAAAAACTCAAAAATATAGAATGTGAAAAAAAAAAGGTTTCTATAATTTGAATGACACCAGAAAAATCTATCCCACGTGGCTATCTACTCCTTCCTGTGATCTGCATTAATATCTCCCAGACAAAGAAGGCTCGGAACCTCCTGTAAAGCCATGGAATCAATGCCAAGCAAATTCAATCAGTTGGTGCCCTCTAGTGTTAGAGAGCAGAAATTGCAAGCATGCATTAAATTCTGGATGCAGTTGCAGACTTATTTACTATACCAGGCATAGGCAACCTTCGGGACTCCAGATGTTGTGGACTACATCCCCTATAATGCTGGCAAAGCATCATGGGAGGTGTAGTCCAAAACATCTGGAGTGCCAAAGGTTGCCTATGTCTGTACTATAACATAATTGTGGGGAATTATTATTTTATTATTTATATAGTGCCAGCAAATTCCGTAGCGCTGTACAATGGGTGGACTAACAAACACGTAATTGTAACCAGACAAATGGATGCACAGGAACAGAGGGGTTGAGGGTCCTGCTCAGTGACCTTACATGCTAGAGGATTCAAAGCAATTCCAGATTTTAGTCCAAAACAGCCTGTTTTGGGTCCGAATACGCAATGACTCTGGAATGCCGACGTGGCTTTTACAGAAGTGGCGCAATTAGTCAGGTATCGCGCAGAGGTGAGAACTACACTGTCCTTAACCCTTCCACTGCCAGCTAGGTGTAGAACATACTGCAAATGGTCAATATTCAGCTCTGGTAATGAGATGAGAAAATTGATAAATGTCACAGTACAGGGTTAAAGGGGAATGGTCACTTTCAGGATTTGTAATACATTGACTTTTCCCACTGAATCTAACAAATATCTTTGTGAGGTCTGAATATCAAATGTAGAAAATCCTCACATGTATTTGACTCGATCCTGAAAAGGAGTACGTCCATCTTGGCTCCTTTGCTATCACGCTACGCTTTGGCCCTTTTCTGTCAGTGAACAAAGTAAGTGGAGAGATAGCAACAATGTTTCCGCCTCTCGTCCAATAAAATTTGTGCCCTGGATGTGCCAAGATTTAACGCACTTGTGAAGGTAGATACGAAAACTACAACTTTATTGTCAAAGGAAAGGGAGCATCACATGAATTTGAGGAACACAAGTTATTGCTGATTTTCAATGTTTTATTATATAGTGTCATTTACAAAAAAGTGACCGTTCAATTTAAAGGAAACTTATTTAGCAGGGATTTTAATATTATATTTACTTATCCCCTCTATCAGATATGTATTTGCGAGGGTTGAAAAATTCTATTAATATTCCACACCTTCAATTAATATACAATTCAAAATTCAAATATTAAATTCAATTAACATTCCAATTCCAAACCTCTTTGTATCCTGCAAATGGGTGTCCCCATCTGTCAACCATCGTTATAAATTTTGCCCCTTCTCTGCTATTGTTTATAATTAGGGAAAGAGGAGAAATTTTAATGTTTCTGTTCTGCGTCCCATTTAAACGCTGTGCCTGAGCGAGATTGAGTTGTGATGTCATTTGCTAAATCTGTCATATAAATGTAAAAGGTTAACATGAGTTCCAGGTGATTCGCAATGTCTTATTGAGCGGTGTAAATTCGCGAGTTGTGACAGTCTTGATTTAAGTGATGTTTTATTGAAACCCATCCAAACTCCCAAACTCAGCCAAGTGTTTGGTGTTCCAGCAGAGTCAGCAGCCACCATCAATCACAGCTGACTGTGACATGTAAGGCAAGCCTGCAAGATATGCAGAATTCAGAACAGTTATCATGTAGTAATGGGATGCACCAAACATCACGAAAGAATTGAAAAAGATAACGGTGATTATTTACTAAACTGTGAGCTGCTGTATGTAAACATCAGGGCCACAGATATAACTCAAGACAGTCTGAAAATTTGAGGCGTTACAGATGTTTTTGTAACTTTAGTTTATTTCTGATCAATTGTGAGACACAGCGATTTGCTGTATAGTGAGTAAACCTCCATATTACCTTATTTTCAGCTTAAAGCGATGAAATACGTAGAATGTAGCTCAGATGTGAGACATGAACTTTTTTAGCAAATCTGTTTGCAGATCCGCTGGTTAATTCAAATGGCCACCTGTTTCTCAGTCTACCCACCCGGCACCTAGCCTTAGGGTCTGCAAGAATGAAACTTGGTCCTATTGTAAGAGGAATGCAAATGATTGATGCAAATAACATGCAGAAAAATTGTGATTGGATGACTCAAGACACAGTGCTACAGCAGCTAAAGAAAGTTAATGTATACAAAGCTCCAGGCCTGATGGTATTCACCCACGAGTAATTAAGAACCCAAGTGTGGAATTAAGTGAACCTCTGAATTTAATCTTTCAAGATTCTTTTCTTTCACAATTGTACCGGAGAATCGGAGGAAGGTAGGTGTAGTTCCTATATTCAAAAAGGGTACAAAATCTGGCCTGGAAATGTTAGACCTGTCAGCTTAGAAGTAAGTAGAAGTAAGAACTAAGAAGCTGTAGAAGTATAGGTCATGGTGTTGCAGTGGATGTGATTTACTTGGATTTTACCAAGGCGTTTGATATGTTTTCTCACAATAGGTTAATGTCCAAACTCAAAGAAATTGGTCTAGATGAAAATTCCTGTTCTTGGGTAGAACATTGGCTTAAACATAGAGTAAAACGAGTTTCCATTAATGGTACATTTTCAAGCTCGACAAAAGTAGCAAGTGTTGTCCCTCAGGGTTCTGTCCTAGGACCATTACTATTTAACATATTTCTAAATGATCTTGAAAAAGGAATTAAAAGCCATATTTCACTGTTTGCAGATGTCACAAAACTCTGTAATAGAATACAATGAGAGCAGGATATTGCTTTGCTGCAGAGGTATTTAGATAGATTGGGGGACTGGACACTTAAAAGGCAGATTAAATTTAATGTAGAAAAATGCAAAGTTATGCACTTGGGAGTAAAGAATGCACAAGCAACTTATACCCTAAATAGTAGTGGATTAGGAATAACAACAACTAAGGATTTGGGAATTGTTATAGACAATAAACTAGGCAACAATGTGCAATGTCAAACAGCAGTTGCTAAGGCCAGTAAGGTATTGGCATGGAATAGCCTGCCTACTGCCATCAGACTCTCCCCTTGTCTTCATTCGTTTAAGAAGTGCCTGAAAACCCATCTCTTTAGGAAAGCTTATGGCCTCCCAGAGTAAACCTCTTCCTCACATACCTGTCTCTTGCTCTCTCTTAAAGGGCAGCACTCTACTCTCTCCTCCAGCCCCGCTTCGCTCCCACCCTATTTGATTTTTATTTCCTGTCCTGTTGTGTTTTATACCCCACCTCCTATAGACTGTAAGCAGGGTCGGTGCAAGGATTTTTGGCCCTTATTTCTTTGCTATACCCTCCCAAACTAAAATTCCATATTTCTCTGCAATGTACCCCTTTCTCCTCAATTCACATCATGACATAGCTTCCCATTCCAATTAGGTCAATTAACCCCTTCCAGGTTCCCTTTTAAAATATTTCCAGCTACTTCTTCTCTACACACTTACAGTGTAACAGTAACACAATACTGACTCACAAATAGGGGCACACAATCACACACACACTGCTCTCAGTCACACAGGAACATAAATTCACAGAGACATACATAACAATTACATTCAGTTACAGTCAAATAAAACCACACTCAGAAATATTCTCATACACATTTACAGTGATGCTTACACACTCACAGACATACAGCTACAGTCACACTCATAGATGCACACAATCACACAGACTTACAATTATGCATGCAGGACATGCACACTCATAGTCAGACATACACACAGACAACACACTCACTTTCACAGACCCAGATACCCACTCACATTCACAGACCCAGAAACCCACTCACTTCCAAACACCCAGATACCCACTCACATTCACAGACCCAGAAACCCACTCACTTCCAAACACCCAGATTCCCACTCACATTCACAGACCCAGATACCCACTCACATTCACAGACCAAGAAACCCACTCACTTCCAAACACCCAAATACCCACTCACTTTCACAGACCCAGATCCCCACTCACTTTCACAGACCCAGATTCCCACTCACTTTCACAGACCCAGATCCCCACTCACTTTCACAGACCCAGATAACCACTCACATTCACAGACCCAGATTCCCACTCACTTTCACAGACTCAGATACCAACTCACATTCACAGACCCAGATTCCCACTCACATTCACAGACCCAGAAACCCACTCACTTCCAAACACCCAGATACCCACTCACATTCACAGACCCAGAAACCCACTCACTTCCAAACACCCAGATTCCCACTCACATTCACAGACCCAGATACCCACTCACATTCACAGACCAAGAAACCCACTCACTTCCAAACACCCAGATACCCACTCACTTTCACAGACCCAGATCCCCACTCACTTTCACAGACCCAGATTCCCACTCACTTTCACAGACCCAGATCCCCACTCACTTTCACAGACCCAGATAACCACTCACATTCACAGACCCAGATTCCCACTCACTTTCACAGACTCAGATACCAACTCACATTCACAGACCCAGATTCCCACTCACATTCACAGACCCAGAAACCCACTCACTTCCAAACACCCAGATTCCCACTCACTTCCAAACACCCAGATTCCCACTCACTTTCACAGACTCAGATACCCACTCACAGTCACAGACCCAGAAACCCACTCACTTTCACAGACCCAGATACCCACTCACAGTTACTCATGGAGACACAGCATAGGTGATCCACCCTCAGACCTTGTAGCTCCTCATGCACACTGAGCTCGTGTTGCTGAGAGCTACTAATTCTTTTGTGCCTGATACCATTCCTCGCTGTAACATGTAGTATGTGTGGTGTGGCTACCTGTAGAAGTTGGAGCCAGCCTTCAGAGTGGGAGCTTGTTTCCCACTCCCTCGCGGTCTGATGACATACGTCATGTTATGGGAGGGCTGATTTAGAGCAAGGGAGCGGAGCTTTGCAGACAGCAGCCAATTAAACCTCTGCAGGACTGTTACAATGCCTCAGGGAGGCCCTGCAGCCTCTAGGCTTCAATAGTGGGCCTCCGTAGCAGAAGCTCTGCTCTTCAGAACAGCGGCAGTGTGTGAGCTGTGAGGGACGGCTGCTGTAGGCTGCTAGTTGTCCTTCACTTAAGTAGTGCCCAATGTAACGGATCAACGGGCACCCCGACTGGGTACCTCCATTGAAGTATGCTCCCAGTGCTTCCTGAGGACTCCAAGCACTCCAGCAGACACCATAACCACTGTAGATTCCTCCAGAGAGCAAGGCAGGAACAAGCTCTTACAAGAGCTAAGTAGTGATTTAGCA